ATGGAAATTAATTAACAAAAATTGTTGGAACTATAGGGTGGGGAGGCCAATAATTAGCTCAATATAGTTTGAATATGAGAGCTACAATGTTGGTAACCCACTCAAACACACGATTTCATGCTCTGATATAATACGACCCTGTTATGTTAATATATAATTAGTGCATAGGTTAATTTCTTGAGAGGGACATATAACATTATTGATATTGAAGTTATTATATGCAACGTTAATTATAGGATGATCAATGAAAACGTCGTTGACTTGAGTGTGGCCGGATGAATCTAATGTTTGAATTCTAGGGATATTGTCGGTAATAATCTCTAGAATTTGGTCAAAAACTAAAATACAAAATTAAGGTTATAATCTAGCTTAAATTTTTTAATTAAGAGATTGGAGGTGATACGAGTATTGAAGAGATTGAAAATTTACCCAATGGTGGGCACCAAATTGTGGATGTTGAAAGATCTATGGATTTGTCTAGCAACCTACACGAGAGAGGAAACAAACACGCTTGAATATTGAGCCTCGAGAACCTAGTTCACAAGTACTTGAGGTGTGTTTTGGTCATGCTAGTTTAGAAGTCTCGAGTCCAAACTTTCCAATGAACTTAATACCAAAAATTCTTAACGTCTCCTAAGTCTAAACCTTGAAGGCAGGTGCAAGGGCGATGCCCTTCGTCGGTATAAGGGAGGAAAGATCTGACTCTCCTTTATAAAAAAAATATTTGAAAATTCAAGTTATTATATATAATAGTTTAGGCTAAAAAAACATACCTATTGCATCTTGATCAATAATGGAATTTGTAGTTGCGAAAGTGGAATTTGAATAGAGGAAATTCAAGCCAAAGCTAGAACTTTTCATAGGAAGGGGTGTAATTTTCATTTTTCATATAGAATTTTTAACCATGAAAATTTGGAGAGGAACAAATTAGAGAAACTCTAAAATCTTAACGTTTTTAATTTATATAATTTTATTAATCTAAAACGAATTGAGAATGGAGCAATTTGTCCTCCATTCCATATCTACTTATATACTCCTAGTTAATCTATTTTCTTAATCTACTGTTTCGAATCGTTCTAAGATCAGCATAATTAATTATTAAAATGCAAGGTTTATCTACACAAATAATAGTATTTATAATCATAAACAAGATTTTGAATTTCTTTTCTTATTTTTAAAAATTAGTTTGGATTTCAAAAACGTTAAAAAGAAAAATAGATTGATAAAACAAATAAATAAATAATGAAAGTTGACTTTATAAGTTAAACAGAGAGTCAGTTTTTTTTTCTTGAGCCTTTTCGTTCCTCTTAATAGACACATGAAGTACCTATATTCGTCTAGAAGGTCGTGAGTTCGAATCCACAACCTACATGTTATTCTAAAAATAAATAAATATAGGCAACTTGCTCTCATCTACACCACACACCTCCACTTGCCACCTTCGACGCACCCCCACTATCTTGGAGTACAACTTGGAGATCGTAAAATTTATTGTCATCATATGCAAAAATAAAGAGACAAGAAACCCAATTAAAGACATTTGATGTACTATTTCAATGTTTGTCGGAGTGACCCAAATTATCATCAAACACAATAATTCAATTATTTCTAAATGTATATAAATAGAAAATTTCATACTACTAAAGAAGCATGAATACTCCTTCTATTTATTATATATCGCTTCAACATCGTATTAAACATGATGTGAGGTCTACCAATATTAACAAATTATTTATAGAAACAAAATTATAGTAGGAAGAAAAGAAGTTGAAATTTTCTACAATCACACAAACAGATGATATCAAAGTAAAATAAGAATTAGATTATCGAATTTATGTACACACAATAATAATAATAATAGTAATAATTTTTGGGATTTTTAGTTATTTATAATCCATTTGATGATGTTGTTGAATGGGAAAAAAAAAAAAAAGAATGAAACAGCTGGGGGAGAGGGGGTAGGTTTGTGTAGACCAAAATTTTCAAAAGGGTCTTTAAATGATGTATCTGAAATTTCTCAGAAACAGATGGAGAAATTAATCTCTCTCTCTCAGAAAATTGAGTCTTATCACTTCAACTAAATCTTTTCTCAACCATTTTCTTCACATTGATAAGCACAATTATCAAATTCATCCGACCAAATTTATGGCAATTCAAATTTTGTTCTTTAAAAGAAAATTAAGTGTTAAAAGCAATATATAAAAAATTAAATCTACCCTAATCTATCCGCTTAAACTTTTAGTATAATTTTCTTAGTATACCATTACTACAAAGTTAAGAGCGAGTTAATTATAAGACTTCCTTTGGAAAAATAACACTACATATACTAATATTATGAGATTTTTTAAAAAATTAAAATTATAAATGTGGTGTGAGAAGATTGAATCATAGAGAACACATGGCTCGCACTGCCAAAAGGTGGTCACTAGATCAGCCGAGCCAATCTCTCGGACAGCTGAGCCGATAAAACTTGTTCCCAAATCATTGGTCGAGCCAATAGCTTCACTTCGGCTCAGCCTCATCTCCGACAAGTTTCACGACGACACACTGCATCTTACGACAACCTTAAAGAGCCGTTGAGGCCTTTTCGAGAATACAGTCGGAAATTTCGCCTATAAATAGAACCCATTTGCTCCGTTTAAAGTTACGCGAACATCCATTTTCTCTCTAAAAAGCATCTCGGATTGTTCTTGACTTTGGCATCGAAGTGTACTTTATAATGCAGGTCACCTCTCTCGTTTACCACCAGGTTATCTTGTTTTTCGAGTTGAGGTTTGTACTGTTGATCATTTTCTTGATCAAACAAATTAAGTTTTGTGTTTGAACCTTTGAGTAAGTTAAATATGAAATACTTTTGTTGTCTACCGATCCGAATTTTAGTTAAAGAGAAAAAAAAGCTAAATAACTTCGATTCTGGATTATTAAAAGTATGTATATATATATATATATATTTATTTATTTATTTATTTATTTATTCATTCATTCAAATAACCCTGAATGTAAATGAGAAGCAGACATAATAGAGGCCAACAACCACATTTCTTTGTTTCTGGTTGGTGGGGGTGTGAGGGCCACCTCATCAAGGGATTAATTAGTGGAGGATAGTTCATATTTATATGCATCAAAAAATATATATGGTAGAGAAATTAAAATTATTATTTTTTTAAAATGCTTTGGGTGATTATTAATTAAAGCCTCGTTTTGATAATATTTTACAACATTATTAATATGCATGTCTATATTTTTGTTATCTATTTTTAAATTTTTTTTAAAATGTAAGTTAAAATTTGAAAATTAAAATAATAATTTTTATAATTTTATTTTTTATTTTTAAATTTTGGCTAAAAATTAAAATATACTTTTTAAGACAAGTAAAAAATATAAAAACAAATAACATGAAGCATAATTTCTAAAAATGGAAACTAAAAATGAGTTGTTATCCAAGAAACTGAGAGAAATATCTTATTCTACTTCTTTCCTTGARAACTTCTTTTTGCAATTAATAATGGCGAATCTTTTAGCCGATACAGTAATAAGAATTAAATGCTTTTCAAAAAGAAAAATGTAATTAAATGAATTTTATTGAAGAAAAAATCTATTATACAGTAGGAATGTTATTCTCCTTCTTTCGTTTTAGTTTATGAGATGATTTTTTTTTTTATTTTTAAAAACAGTTCTTAGATTTGCTCACAAACTCAAAATTGAATTTCTCATTTTTTCCAATTTTAGATTTACTTAAATTTAGTTTTCTTTTTTCTGTTTTACTAAAACAGAATTGAAAATCACATCTGGATTTGATTAAATTACAAGATCTCTTTTACTCATAATAAAATTATTAAAGTCTAAGTTTTTTTACGTAAAAAATTTTCTAAAAAATTAATTTATTCCAATCCAGAGCTTTTTGTGGGATAAATATGAACTATTTTTTATTCAACATATTATTTTGTCAACTTGAACATAATTTACTGGTTAATATATATATATATATATATATATATATAAATAAATAAAAACGGGTAGATTTAAGTCGCACACCTATATTAATATACTAAAAAGACATAACATTTTCAAGTACTATAATTTATTTCACAAAACAAGTAATCCAAACTAACATCAAATAACCAATCCAAATTATATACTTGAAACAAAGATACATTAGCATAAATGGTGTAAAATATTATACGTATATTATAGCATAAAATTTAATATTTTACCAAATAATTAAAATAAAACAAACTTTTTTAGAAATTATACTATTAGTATAAATTTAGTATGTATTTTTTAAAATGTCACGACTTTTCATTTTTTTTTTCAAATATATAATATAAATATATCTTTTCTCAGTTTGCTTTATATTATAAGACTATACTATTTTTGTAAATTTTAAAACTTAATGCTATATTTAAAAGTAAACATTCATTTTATGTTATTTAAATGTAAATATATGTATATTTTTAAGTATAATCAAATTCAAAGTCAAATGTAATGTAAAACACGGAAAAAAAAGTAAAACTCATGCTATCTATATTTTAAAAAATGAAAAGTTGTGACATTTTTTAAATACATAAATTTATGTCATGTAGTGAAATTTCTTTTGAGACAACTCCTTCATTTGGATGAACACAAATTTACTAACTCCAACAACTAAATGGAATAATAAGGAGAAAAAAACATTGGTACACAATTAAAAATATTTTCCTAACTTATTTATAAATATTTCTACTCTTCTCTAATTAATAAGAGAATATATAGGAGTGTGTTTAGGAATTCAAACACAAAATTCCATGCTACATTAAAAATGAATAAACCACATTTGATCCAAAAACTTAAATCAGTCCCAATGTCAATTACAACAACCATTACCACAAGAATTCACACAAATTCCTATTTATGAGCTTAAAAAATTTAGTGGGCGATATGATAGATAAGTAATGAAGGAAACTGTGTTGGACGTGCATTATATATGGCCAAAGTACCTGACTTGGCAGCAGAGACTCATTTACTTCTATTTTCTGCAAAAGAATGAAGATCTCTCTCGGTCTTTCTTCTTCTTCATTTTTGTTGTTTTTGTCTATGGTGACGGTGTCTTGGACTCCATTGGAAGCTGCCGTTGAACAATGGCAGCTTCCCGGTGGGGTTTTCGGGCCGGAGAGTATCGCCTTCGACTGCCATGGGGAGGGGCCATACGCCGGGGTCGGAGATGGCAGAATCCTTAAGTGGAAAGGTGCCGATTTGGGTTGGACTCACTTTGCTGTTACCTCGCCCAACAGGTGAGACCTCGTAGTTTTGTTTTTAGTTCATACGTTTTAAGATTATGCTTGATTTCTTACCAATCTTTCTTATATTTGGTTATAAAAAATCTTCACAAAATTCAATTATTCAAAACAAAAGAATTATCAAGTCATTTAACATGTTTTTCTTTCTTTAAATCACCAAAAAAAAAAAAAAGAGTGACCTGTTTTTGAGCTATTAGGGTTTTCTTTTTTTAAATGTCGATTCTTGTACCCAACATCAACATAGAAACCAAAAAGAATTAGAGCCAAAGGTGTGATGGGAAAGGAAAAGAATAGAAATATTTAATACCAGATGTGTTTTATTAATAAATTTAAGAAATTTTAAGTTATTTTATTCGTGGAATGGATTATATTACAAACTAGTTTCAAACTTGATGTTTGATTAACTATTTTTACTTGCTTTTAAAAATAAAAATCAAAATAAAACAGCTTTAATTTTTCTTGGCCACAGACATATTTATTATTTGTAAGTTGTAGAAAGAATTGGAAAAATCCTGCCAATTAAGAAAACAGTTTGACATAGAACAGCATTTTAAGAGATGGAGATCATAATTAAGCAAGGAGCCAGATATTTTTAACAACCCTTAAATCTTTTTAAAAAATTATATAAAAATTAAATTGAAATTGTTGAGATGTTCATAAATAAATTAAATTTACCCAACCCATCAGGCTAAACTTTTGAGTTTAGTGGTGGTTTATTCATTCTTAACATGTGTATCAAAGCGGGAGGTGCTGTGTTGGAACTCCTACCCACAAGTGAGGGATAGTGTTGAAATTTATATATATGAATTAAATTTACTTAATTCATCAGCTTAAGCTTAATTTATTTTTTCATGTTGGAATTTTAGGGAAGGAAAAGAGTGCGATGGGCTGCCCGAGACGGAGGTAGTTTGTGGGAGGCCATTAGGGATAAAGTTCCATCCTTCAAGTTGTGAGTTGTACATAGCAGATGCCTATTTTGGTCTTCTTGTTGTAGGACCTCACGGCGGGTTGGCTCACCAACTTGCCTCTTCTGCCCAAGGAGTTCCATTCCGCTTCACTAATGCTTTAGACATCGATCCTTCAAACGGTGTCGTTTACTTCACCGATAGCAGCACCTTATTCCAAAGAAGGTACTCTTATCTAATTTAATGATCAAAATCTCTTCTTTAAATTTAAATCTTTTGTTTAATAATACCATTTCAATCATTTACGTAAAAATAAATCTATTTAATACTTGAAACCTAACCTACTATTTTATGTAACCCTCATGGGTGATTCATTGATTTAAATGGACTAGGATTAATTAAGAGGGAACAGAGTTCAAAATCCCATAGTCTCTGTATTTTCAAATTAGTAACAATTTTGTCCCTGAAACTTAGAATTTAACAATTTAGTCTTTGAAGTTTAAAGTTTGTAATGATTTAGTCTCCATTGTGAATATTTTTTGTTAAATTTCTTATATATATAGATCAATAAATCGATGAAGGATTGAATTTATTTATAAATTACAAAAAGTAAATCATCATTATATAATAAAAATTGACTCTTAATTTTGATGAGAATTTTCGTGGTATGGACTAAATTGTTACAAATTTTAAACTATAAAAACTAAATTGTTGCATATTAAAATCTAAGGACTAAATTATTACGAATATGAAAGTACAGAGACTAAATCGTTACGATTAAAAGTTCAAGGGCTAAATCGTTGTTTTAATAAAAGTACATGGACCAAATATGTTTTTTAACCTAGAATTTAAAACGTAGCTCTCTTATTTAAATCCCTAAAATTTTGTACTTCATTTTTTGACTTCTAAGACTTTAAAACTAATTCAGTTTCGGTGTTGACTTTCAAATATTTGTCTATGATAAACGTCTATTAAATAGTTTATAGAAAAACTAGCATGTAAAATAACTAAAAGCAAATTTGGAAAACAATAACAATATGAATAATAATAATAATAATAATAATAATAATAATAATAATAAATGGAGTTGGACATTTAATATTTCCAAACCAAAAAAAGTCTCCACAAAATGTGGATAGACAGGACAGTAACTATAAGGACGTTACCTGTCCCAATGTTAATTAAATTTATTTTAATGGAATAACAACAAAAAAATTGCTTGTTAAATAAATACCTATTTCCATATTTTTAAGAATTATTGAAAACTATTTACTTATTTTTACAAAATCTATTCGGAGTTGTTTATATCTTGACTCTTGCTTTCTTCTAATGCTTCGGTCTCCGCATTTTAAAATAATAATGATAATAATAATTGGCCTTACAAAATAAACTCCTCGTAGTATCATTTGAATTGGTTTGTGATATTTTAAATGTTTCAATTTTATCTTTTAAAGTATAAATTAGAAATTTAATTGAGTTCATACTCAAAAGTTACGTTGAATTTAAATAAGATGATAGGAATGTCACATTTAAAAATATTAATTTCGGCCAGTTTGACATCACTAAATAATGCAAAATATCATTATGTACCCACCCCACCCTAATAATAAAATTTAATTGTCCATAAAGAAATCCAACCTAACCCTATCCATTTATATTTTTTTCAATAGTATAAGGTTGGATAGATATTTAGAATTGTGAACTCAAATAATATTTTAAAGAAAAAATTAAAAGCATTCAAACATCAAAAATAAATTGCACAAATAATATACCCTTTGAGGATTAAATTATATATTTAGAAAGAAAAATTAGCAGAGTTGTGAAAATAAGATTTATCAATTTAATTCACAGATAATACTTGATTATGAGTCTTGACACATCAACAATACCTTATATGATTGCAAATATATACTTCTCTTTATTGTGTTCAGTTTCACTTATAAAATTATATCGTAAATATTACAGATTTTAGACGAGGATTCCAATCTTTTGTAATATATGAATTCTGATACCTAATTTGTTGTATTAATTATTACTTAATTGATATACCAATAATATTAGAAAATAAAGCTTTAGGAAATGATAAATTTGAGTGGGCCCCATTCGGAAAGGGGCATTAAATATGGATTTTAAATTAGGGTGGATGTGGATAGGGTTTGGTTGTTGTCGATAATGAACGGCGACAAAACGGGGAGGCTGCTGAAGTACGACCCAGGCACGAGAAACGTCACCGTTTTGATGAGCGGGCTGGCGTTCCCAAACGGTGTCGCTTTAAGCAAGGACGGGTCGTTCCTCGTAATGGCGGAGACGGGGACAATGCAGATCCTGAAACTGTGGGTGAAGGGCCCGAAATCGGGGACGGCGGAGAAATTGGCGCAGCTGGACAGGTTTCCAGACAACGTAAAGAGGACGGACGGCGGCGATTTCTGGATCGCGATGAACAGCCTCAGAGGGAAGCTGGAGGCGGAGACGTGGCCGGAGCCGGGGCTGGGGGCGGATCCGGTGGCCGTCAAGATGGACGGCGGAGGGGCGGTCAAGGCGGTCGTCGACGGGGAGGAGGGGGCGGCGCTGGATTCTGTGAGCGAGGTTGAGGAGAGAACAGGGAGGCTCTGGATTGGCTCTGCTGTAAAACCCTATGTTGGCGTAATCATTAATTGAAAAATAAATAAACAAACAAACAAAAACATTGTTATTTATTATTTCGTGTGCTATGCTAATTTTGTGTCAATTCTGATTGAGATCTTCCAAAAATTGTGTAGAGTAATTTAAGTCTTTCTTTCATATATTTTCTTTACAAATGTGGTGTGTGATTAGTTTTTGGAATTATAAGTTTGGTCTCTCGATATTTTTTTTTTTCATCTAATATATCTCAAAAGGTGTCAAAACTAAGATGGTAATTTAACCTAATTCTCGGTAAATTTATAGGTTAAAAAGGACTATTTTTTTTAGTTGGAGATAATTACATGTTATGTGATTTTAATATTGAGTTTGAATATGAATTTTTGTTTGAGGGATCACGTTCTTTAATTTATGGGTGAGAATGACTAAATTAGTGTGTTCGATAATCCTATTGTTTCAAAATCATGATTGGTTGAAGGTTTTTTCATTCTTTTTTTAGTTCATCAACAATGGATGAGGTGGAAATTCAAAATTTCAAAAGGTTGTTTTTATGTCTTTAATGGTTGAATTATGCTTTTAACCGGTGGTGTTAGAGCAAGTCTTCCCTGGATTATTAGAGGATGTTTGAAAATTACTTTTAGACATGTTGTTCTTTTAATAACCTATTGTAACATGATATTGGAATTATTTGGATATTGATAAGATGTTGAACAGTTTTGGTTGTTCGAATCTATGTGCATAATTGACTGGATCAAGTTCAATATTTTTTAGTACAATATCTAAGGTGCACATTCAAATTTATGATTTTTTTTGTCGAAGATAAGTGAGCTAATTAGTTGAGCTATGCTAAAATTAATATGAGTATAGCTTAATTAGAGTTAAGGTATCTTACTCTCCCTATGAAAAAAATCGTAGGTTTAAATCTCTACTGTGACCTTTATTTTGTGACATTCTATAATATAATTGTAGGTTGGGTTCAAACATTATAAAGAATATTGAAATTAGTTGCAATTCCACTAGGTGCCATATTCTATTTCTAATTGATTTTATTATCAAAGCCATTTTTTAGCCAACAAAATAAAATAGAGAATCTGGTGTTATATTATTTTGTTATGTGATATTGTTCTAATGCTCTTCACATTGTCCCTTTTTTGGTTGTGTTCCACTATAAGTTTGGAATAACCTTTTTAAGGGTAGAAGTTCAAATTCCACTCCACCTTCTCATTTGACTTTATTTTAAATCCTAGGTTTTGAAATATCATTTTAGCATTGCTAGGTTTGGAACTTGTTATACTTTCAAATATTTAAATTTAATGAGTCTTTATTAGTTTTTCTTCTAAAAAGTTACATATTCGTATGGTGTGTTTTCTCGTTTTTGCTAAGTTAGATAAAACTTAACTTAAAACTAAGGATGAAAACTAATTTTAAGTTTTATTGAAAATACATGAATTCAATTTAGACATTTTGAAAGTAACCACTAAAATAAGATAGTTTTAAAGGACATGGACAAATAATATTTAACCAAATTCTACTTTTAATATATATGAATTTACAAATTTGTTTCATTTAAAACTTATTCTAAGAGTATTCTTGTTTTCAAAAATCTTCTCGGTGAAAGGTTGAAAGAGATTTTGACCTTTCCCATACTTTCTTGGCTCGTCCCTCATTTTTWTAACTTTTTAGTATATGATTTTTTGTCGTTTAAAAGATTATTACAGTTATCTTATGTTGGGTTCGTCCAATTTTTACCTATAAAGCAATTTGAGAAAATACCAACTATTACTTTCTTATTTAGAAAGGAAAGAATAAAATTCATTATAAGGAATTAATTAATCACTTGGATATTTGGAATCAAACTCAATAGTTTTAAATACTGTTTTGAATTATTTGATGTATTACCTCTTGAATTTTTAAAAATTTACTTTCATTTTCAACGATATAATCGAAGAAAAACTTATCAATGGACCAGCTACAAGGAATGACGACCTCATCATCCATCAAGCCTTACATTAGATGGTGAAGATGTCAGTAACAAATTAAATGAACCAATAATCACTTTTTTTTAGTTTAACGAAAAGTGAGAGATTTAGTCAAATCATTGTTCAACTACTTAAGACATATATATCGACCAAAAAATTGTAGATTCGAATACACACTCCCACATGTTATTGTACTAAAAAAAAATTGTGGGAGATTTAAACCTACAACTTGCATAGAGGTAAGTAATGTTTTGACCAATAGAATTAGATTCATGTTGATATTTACCTTCTCAAATAATTAGCTCAAATTATTAAAAGATTATACTAAAATGGATCGAAAAAAATTGAATCCCTAAGATTGGATTAGTAGACATTGGACAATAGTATAAGCCAAAATTTATCTTTTATGAATGTAGTGTACTCTCTGACCAAAAGATCATGAGTTTGAATCCTCACCCCTACATGTTGTACTAAAAAAATAATAATTAGAAAGACATTTATATGGGGTCAACAAAGTTGACAAGGAGACCTATTTTAGGGTAAGCACAAAACTTGACAACTATCCATTTTATGTAATAAAAAGGAATTATGACAAGTTTTGTCCTTTTCAATGAAGAGTCACCCTTTGACTTTGAGAGAATCTCACACTTTCATCAAAGTGGAATACTAATTAGAAGAATGAAATAATTTTGAGGTGAAAAGGACATAAAATTAATATAACTCGACTAAAATAGTTAAAATAAACCAAATCCATAATCTACATCAAATTGAAATCTTAGTTAAATTTCAAAAACGAAACCAAAATTTTGAAAACTACCTTTTCCATTCCATTAAAATTTGGCTAGAAAATTATAGGTCAATAAATGTGATTTCTAAAATATAGAGTTAAAGCAAAAATAGGTCATAAATAATCAATATATCTAAATATTTCAAACATTTTTCAATTTTTCTTATTATTAATTAAAATGATTTTCTTGACAAACTTAATTATGCTTCATTTGGTTATCATTAATGAATTAGAACTAATTCTTGACTAAATATTTCACGTCATCCTTTTATTCTTATTATTTTTTAACTCCGCACTTTAAATTATTTTAATAGTTTTAATTTAATTCTTCATTGGTTAAGTTTTTTTTTTTAATTAATTCATTAGTGTTTACACAATATATTGATGAAATGATGATTTTAACATCTAAATTTTATGGCCATCTTTTCTTTAAAGTTAGAGATTCAAACTTCTATACCCCAACTTTTTTAGTGTACTAAAAAGACATCTAAATTTTATGGTTAACAGTAGATCATATATTTTAGGTTGTTTGTCACTTATACTAAAAGAGTCACAAATTTTATTTAAATCCATGTAATCTATGTATTGAGAAGAATCAAATAAAGAATTGAAGAGTTGCTGAGAGACTTTATTCTGTACCCACTAAATTGTATCTAAAGATTTAAAGTTCGCAATAACAAGAGATTTTTTATACCAACAAAAAGGTTTTGGCCTATTACCTTACCACTGCTTATGACATTTGGCCAAATAGGTCAAAATGAAATGACAACTTTCTCCTTAAAAAAAAATAATAAATGACAACTCAAAACAAAAAGTTTCTTTGCACACTCATACGCTGACTAATTAGAATTGTCATTAGCTCACTGTATGCAAAATAATGTAACTATCTTTCATCAAACCACTAATTGGCATAATTCAACTAGTTATAAGACATATCCTCGACCAAAAGGTTGGAAGTTTGAATTCCAAATCCCACGAATCGTTGAATTAAAAATTAAAAAAAAAAAACCTATCTTCAATCATAACCAACCAGTACAATAGACATATATATGCAAATTCTTACTCTCAACCTTAACCATCTCTAAGTTCCCGACACTTTACATAACAAACTTCTGACTTGATCGTCAAAGCTCTATAAGCAAACATCACACTAATGTTTTTAACTCTTTCTTTTTTTTCTCCCTACAGGTGAAATCCAACTTGACAATAGGTTTTCAAACTTATAATATTAGAATAAAGAGAATAGCCAAATAACCACACTCGACACGACACGTTTTGGATCAAGTGCCTATAATCCAATCCAACCCTAATGAAAATGAATGATTTGTTGACCACCTGATCAAATTTAATAGCAAAGTGATGATGGATAGTCATGATTAAAAAAGTTGAGAAGAGGTACTAGAGGCCATAAATTAGATGGGTTTGGAACATCAAGTCAAGCCAACCCATATAATGGGGACCAAAGTTGCACGTGTAGCTCAGTAACACTGTACTGCATACAATACCATAGTTGCATTTGTTACTGCCACTGGGAACGCTTCTCATCTCTCTTTCCTCTTCACAAACACATCAAAAGAAGAGATTTTGGAAAGAGAGGCTTTTAAACTTTTGACAGTGAATGGGTAAGGTTTCAGAGAGAGAGTTTTGCTTTCATTATTTCACTATAAAACTAATATCTAAAAAGATGTTCTTGAAGATGGAAATTTCAACACTCAGGCGGCGGGAGATATAGCTGAGAAATGATTTCACTACAAAGATATCATGAGGAAGCTATTCCCTCGAGATTCCAACCTTTCATAATTGGTTGGGGTAAAAGCTAAAGCTAAAGCAAAAGCAGAAAGAAAATGTGATCATAGAAATTTCCAAAGGCAGAGAATGTTGGATTCCCAGAACCACAATAATCTGTACAAGCTTACCTCACACCAAACTCTGTACAAGCTTACTTCTAATCCTAATAGAAATCAATCCACCTGTTGTCAACCATGCTTAAAATAATAGAGTATCTGAGTTTTGGTTAATGTGGGTTCTCTCTTTAATATATTCCTTTTTTTTATTTCCTCTGCCTTTTGTAAAGGAGTGGCAGACATGTTGATTCTTTTGTGTCTTTTTAGAGCCATTCTTTTGGCTGTTGGGGCCTCAAGGAATGTTTTGAGTAACAGAGTGAAACAGCAAGCAGCTCTGCCAATGTCGATATATCTCACAAGTCAAAGCCAACTAACCAAGTTGGAATTCAGGTCGAGTTTAGCCGTGTCGAATCTTTTAGCTTACTTTATGCCTATCCCTCTTTAACATCTATCTTTCTTCATCAGATAAAGCTGTTATTTTCCTTTTTTTTTTCTTTTCTTTTCTCATCTGGTCATTTGATGAACCAGTAGCTGCTAGTTCAATGGAAATTAGGAGAGAGAATGGGTTTTTGTTCTGTTTGGCTTTGCTTTCGTTATGGGTTCCTGCAAGTGCTTCTTCAACACCCAAAGGTTCAAACCCTGAAGGTAATTGTCTTCTTCAGTTTCAAACTTATGTAAGGGCTAGTGAGCAGAATTAGATGTACTTTGAAATTTGTTTCAGTTCATGCTTTGATGGGGATCAAAGCTGCTTTGAAGGATCCTCATTCTGTTCTGGCTTGGGATGATGATGCTGTGGATCCATGCACTTGGAATTTAATCACTTGCTCTTCTGGTGCAGAACCCAAAGTCATTGGCATGTAAGTTTTGTTTCAAAACCAATAAAATAAAAAGCTCCAAGGTGTACCAAATAATGCTTTGTTTATATGTTGTCTCACTTCAGAGGAGCTCCAAGCCAAAACTTATCTGGTACACTCTCACCAAGTATTGGAAATTTGACAAACCTCCTATTTTTGTAAGTCTCACCACGGCCAGAAGACTTAGTCATGAACTCTAAAGCTTCTCTTTTTATTCACTCCTGAATTGATTTTTCTCTCTGGTAGGCTTCTTCAGAATAACAATATATCAGGAAAAATTCCCAATGAGATTAGCAAGATACCTAAACTACGCACACTTGATCTTTCAAACAACTTGTTCTCTGGTGAAATTCCCAGCTCATTCTCCAACTTGAAAAGCCTCCAATATCTGTACGTGGGATTAAAGATACAAGTGCATTTACTGTATATTCATATGATACAAATTCTAACCAGGAGTTTTGGATTTGGTATTAGGAGACTCAACAATAACACCTTCTCTGGGCCGATCCCATCATCATTGGCTAACATGACTCAGCTTGCCTTGCTGTAAGTAATTCTCCCACAAACCCTCTCTCTCTTCTTTATAACAGAAACTTAGAGGCTGTTTGGAGTTTGAGTTCAAAATTTTGTTTGAATAATTGTTTTTAAGTGTTTACAGCTCTTAAAGATAATTGCCATGCAGAACAAGCTCCCAAACAGCCCATTAATCTGTATCATATTGATCTTTTGGTTGATTAGAAGGGAATGTTTTTTGTTCCATTGTTTTAGGGACCTATCCTACAATGATTTGAGTGGTCCTGTGCCCAGACTGCTGGCTAAGACATTTAAGTAAGTTCCAAACAGGGTTTCAACTTTTCCTGTTCTTCTCAGTTAGTTTTGGTAAATGACTGTCAAAAGAAAGTTCTGGTTAATTGTAACAATTGACCGTTTCATTCTGTTACAGCTTCACTGGAAACTCTTTGATTTGTGCCCCTGGAACTAATGAAGCATGCTATGGAACATCTCCATTGCCACTTTCTTTCGCTGTTACAAACGCTTCATGTAATTTTCTTTTACAGCCTGCCTTCCTCCAAATTCTTTTTAATGTTTGAAATTAGCTGTTTCCTTTTTTTCTCTTCATCCATGTAAAGTTTGATATTCATCTCTAAACTTCTTCCAAAGAGTGACCTGAATTCTGTTGTTGACTTCTCAAGACTCGCAACCTCCTAAGAGACACAGAGGCCAGAGAATTGCCTTAGTCATTGGTCTTAGCTTGGGCTGCATCGGTCTCTTAACCCTTGGATATGGTTTCTTTTTCTGGCGGAAGCATAGGCACAACCAGCAAATATTCTTTGAAGCTAATGGTAAGTGACTAACAAATATCATTGCATCATCATTAGATTAAAGTAGCTTTTCCATATTATTTATCAGAACTGCTGAATGATTTTTAGATCGGCATCTTGAAGAACTGAGCCTTGGAAACATAAAGAGGTTTCAGTTCAGAGAACTTCAGAATGCCACTCACAATTTCAGCAGTAAAAACTTGATTGGAAAAGGTGGCTTTGGGAATGTATACAAAGGATATCTCCAAGATGGCACCATTATAGCTGTCAAGAGGCTCAAAGATGGGAATGCCATGAGAGGAGAGATCCAGTTTCAGACTGAAGTTGAGATGATAAGCTTGGCAGTGCATAGGAACCTCCTCAGGTTGTATGGTTTCTGTATTACAACAACAGAGAGGCTTTTGGTCTATCCATATATGTCCAATGGCAGTGTTGCCACCCGTCTTAAAGGTAATGGAGCCTCAACATGGTGGATGAACGAGTACACCATTAATACTCGTTTAATAATTTTTTTCAAACTGTTGTTTTGGAATACAGCAAAACCAGCTCTGGATTGGAGTACAAGGAAGAGAATTGCCTTGGGAGCTGCTCGGGGCTTGTTATACTTACATGAACAGTGTGATCCAAAAATCATTCACAGGGATGTGAAGGCTGCAAATATATTGCTTGATGATTTCTGTGAGGCAGTGGTGGGGGATTTTGGGCTGGCAAAGCTGTTAGATCACAGAGATTCACATGTCACAACTGCTGTGAGGGGAACTGTTGGGCACATTGCACCAGAGTATCTATCAACTGGCCAATCCTCAGAGAAAACAGATGTTTTCGGGTTCGGAATTCTACTCCTTGAGCTCATATCGGGTCAAAGAGCTCTTGAATTTGGAAAAGTGGCAAACCAAAAAGGAGCAATTCTGGACTGGGTAAGTAGAAAAAGATATCATATCTAGTAGGGACCTAAATTTCAGACCCACAAGCTCAGTTTAACAAATTACTCTAATTGCAGGTAAAGAAGATTCACCAAGAAAAGAAGCTTGAAATGCTTGTTGACAAAGACTTGAAAAGCAATTACGACCGAATAGAACTTGAGGAAATGGTTCAAGTAGCTCTCTTGTGCACCCAATGTCATCCCAGCCACAGGCCTAAAATGTCTGAAGTGGTCAGGATGCTTGAAGGAGATGGGCTGGCAGAGAAATGGGAAGCTTCCCAAAGATCAGATGCAAACAGGGGCAGAGCCAATGAGTTCTCCACTTCAGAACGTTACTCTGATCTTACTGACGACTCTTCATTGTTTGCTCAAGCAATAGATCTCTCAGGACCCAGATAGGAAAGACTTGCAAACTGGAAAAAATATTGAACTGGCCAATGACCAGAAAATGAGATATTCATCAACTAAACTTCATACAATGAGCAGTATGCTGGTGAACATTCTCTAATTAAGCGAACTCTGAACGGCATCATACTGGAATTGGAGTTCTAAAGATAGTAGCTAACTTCGTTGTGTTCTTGGAGAATGATCTACTTTTAGGTGTTTCTTTTTGTTTTTTTGGCTGCATCCTAAGTCCTGAGCTTGTAAATCTAATTTTTATGAGTCCTTTTCTAGCTTTGTTTTTCTTTAGTTCTCAGTTGAAATGGCCAGTCAGACCCTTCCACACAATTTGTAAAATAACGTAAGTTAAAAACAACTTTGTATCATTGTACTAGCAAATCTCTGATATATTAGTGGTTTTTTTTCCTTTTCGGAGGTGGAGGGGGTAATCATATATTTGAACAAAGATGGTCCCCTGCAAATAATTGGTTCCACTGTGAATCACCTAAATGGGATTTGTGATCAATCCACTTTTCTTCAGCTGTTTTCACTCTATATTAATGTGATGCATTCATATCTAAATGTTTTCTAGTTTCAACAAGACTCGAAAAAGCAGAAAATATCCAAACCAGTTTAAAATTTATAGAAATCCAAGTATATGATTGATATAAAAATCCAGGTACATCATTAGTTCTTACCCTGGTATCTACTATGTCAATAGATATTGAGAGAGAGAGCAAGAGAGAGTGAAACAGAGAATTGTGGTTGAGGGTATGAACATTTAACTGTCCTAGATATGAGATTTCCATCATTTTGGCACATACCTAGGGGTATGCACATTCTTATTTCCTACTCCATGAAATGCAATCTAATTCTAATGAAAGGGTGATGCCAAAATATGGATGTCATGAATTAAATGTTAAAATGAAAGTTTTTACAGTTTGAGCCATTGGTTTAAAATAACGTACAGGGGGCATCTAGTGCAAGTATTAGTAAAGTGATTATCAAATCTTGCATCACAACGAGCTGAGTGTACCATCTGTAATTTGGTATTAGCTAGCTAACTAACACCAAGACAATGAGTAGACAAACACCTTCCATAGCATAACAATCAGCATAAGCCTTAGCTTTTAAGAAGCAATGATCAAATTTCATCCCGCTTAATATTCCTTGTGCATTTCCATCTATCTCAAGATTTTCAGGAGTGCAGTAAAAAAGAAGGAAACAGAGTGCAGCATACAAGAAATATAATATATTATTCTCACAACCCGATTCTTTTAGGTGTATAATTCCAGATCCTTAATCCGGTTCAGGTACTCGTCCCCATTACTACTTTCAGTAAAAAGTTCTAGTCTAGGTCGCAATAGCACATTCCGGTGAAGTAAAGATTTAAGCAAAGATATCACCTCACTTCCATATTCTGGCCATGAAACACAAAGGGCTCCCTTGATATTCTTCATCTGGCAACGTCCAAGCAAAGCAGCAGCCAGGCCATCTACAACACTTCCTGATGCATAGTAATCCAGGCCTTTTAACAATGGTGAACCACTGTTACCCTCATCTTGACTCTTTCTTTCAGAAGAGGTCTCCAGCTTGAAAGCAAAAGCCTCGTCAGGTGAGAGCTTACCCCGAAAATTTTGGCTCTGAAGACTATCTAAGATCAGAACCCTCTCAGGAATAATTTGATCTCCAAGTAGTACCTTTGAAACAAGAACAGATCTCTCTGCTGGAACAGAACACTGAAAGGAAACAAGGATAACTAGTTCACCATCTTGATCAATGGAGTAAATGTTGCACAATTTGTCATCAACTGAAGGTTGGATATGGTTTCCAGAGAAAGGAATTTCAGGTAGGATGAGACTTCCAACAAGGGTTTTAGCCGATAAATGATGAAAGATATATAGAGACGGGGAAGAAATCGCAATGACAAGTAGGGAGGGGCGGAGAGGTTCATTAGGTTTAGGATTAGATAACAGCAGAAATGGGGAAGGAAGAGGAGGCGATGGAGGAGCGAAATTATTAAGATCGTCTTGGAAAAACCTTGAAGGAGGGGGAATCTCGGTTAAGATATCTTCCATCTTGTTCCTGTCAAAAAAGCCAGCCCTGGAAGTGAATAATCCAACAAAAATAACATTCATCGGCTTTTTTACAGTTCATAACCATCAGAATCACAACTTCCTTCAACAGAAAATAACTCCAATTGCTCCAGCAACAAACATTGAACCAACTAAATGAAAACCCACAACATAAATCTAACAGGTAAACAGTTTCAAAGTTTAAACTGAATGAAAAGAAAAGTGAATCAAGATTCAGAATCAGGTTATTCCAGATAACTTTTAAAACAAGAAATCGAACACAACCCCAAATTTCCGAGAGTAAAAAAGAGTCCAACATCATATCATGTTTTTCACTAGAGTTTCTTGCTTTCCTACGAGAAATGCAGTTCCTGGAGGCCGACTCTCACAAATTATGGAAATGCGTATGGAAAATTAAAGATCTAAATTGACCTAAAAATCCACAAAAAGGAAATGGAGGGAAGGAGAAGGCAGAGGCACCAACCGGAAGAGAGGCCGTCGCCGGGAGATTTGGTTCTGCAACTGCAAATTTATTGCTGCTTTCGAGCTCTTCGCTGAGAACTGTGAAGAGAGACAGATGTTTAGGTTTCTTTCACCAGAAGTTAAAAGATGACAAAATTCCCCCTCGCGAACTTTTTAAGATATAAATATGACGAGTTTATATTTATTTCTTTTTTTAATATAACAAATTATAAGTATCGATAATCTTCAACCTCAAGAAAAACAGTAGCTACAAATTAGCTATACTCAGTTATTTATATTTTTATAAGATTATATTATCTATTTTTCATCTCGAAACAATACGACCTATTCAATATAGTAACAATTATTAACTTTTAAGATGATAATGGATGTTTTATCTTCTATTCAAATTGACATCTCAATTATTAAGAAGTTAGTAAAATATCAAATATTCAAATATCAATCTCAGTTAATTCAAACAAATAAAAAAATAGAAATCAAACCAATCATAAATACCAACCCGATAAATTAACTTTTTAGTTAATGAGTTTTATATTAAAATAGACTTTTTTTTTTGTTTTTATAGAACATTAAAAGAATCATGTTAGTTTTTGTTATCCATTATACATTTTTAAATGAATGATTTAAAGATATGACATAAACACATCTATTTAATTCATTTATTTGATCAACTGATATCTACAAAAATGTTTAAAGTCACATGTTAGATGTTAACTTTCGAATTTGTATTCTTGTTAAATGATTAATGAAAAAGTAACGATAAAAATTAATATAAATTTTAATGCAACATTAAACTAAAATAAAACTTTTAAAAGTCGTGGGACTAAATTTGAACATTCAAAAGCTTTTAATTCGTCTTTAAAACTAACATTCTTAAAATAGGATCAAATCAGTAGTATAACTCTTTATTGCACACATTCATACATTTATAAATTTATGATATTAAAAAGAAAAAATTCATTATTTATAAAAATAGATGGTTTGTGAAAACTCGAAAAAAGGAATTAAGAGAAAGAAGAAGCAGTTGTCCAAACACTTCCTTGTCTATAATACTCAAATAAATTTATTAACTTTTAATATGGTCTATAATATTCGAATAAATTTATTAACTTTTAATATGTTTGTTGGGATCACTCATTCAAAATATTGTAGAACAAAAAAAACTTAAAAAGATAAATCTTAAAAGTGTTGGATAATAAATAATGCAAAAAGAACTATTGAATTAGATAAAATTTAAATAAATATATTTGTATATAATTTTATGACAAGTAAAAGAAATGATTTTAAAATTAATAATAAATTCTAGTTGGTCTGGTTCAACCCAAATTTATTCTAGATAAACCCTTAAACCAACTCGAGTTTTCATTTATTCGAAACACAGAGCACAAACAAGTTTATAACCCAACTCAAACCACAGTTTAAGTTGCTCGGATTTTTCGGGCGAACACGCCTACCTGGCATCATTTGTTTAATCTATAACAACCTAAAATTGTAGAAATATTTGTAAAAGTTCTCTCTTTTCATTTACAGGAAGTGAGGTAGTTTCACATCAATAACAGAGAGAAATACAGCACAATGTTGAGAATCTGGAATTCAACTTGTTTGGGTTGAAAGAAGCAAACCCTGAAAGAGCAAATTTTGTTAAGAAACTATGTCTGCTACTGCTCATCTTTCAAGTAAATGAATTTGTTTGCAACAGAACAAAATGAGGGTTCAGTAAATAAGAAAGAATGAATAATCAAATCAAGTGTAAACATTTCAGTTCCACAAGTATCTGATATCTTAGTTTCAATCAAGCTAACACAACACCTCTGCAATAAATCAATGCCAAAACAAGAAAAAGTTTGACCATTTAGTTGCATAGGCCAAAATCTCTAAATCAATATTCAAATTCCCTCCCCTCTACTTGTCAACCCTTCTCCATCTTGCATCCTCCTCTAACCTGGAATGTACTCACGAATTGATACACGGTTATTCCAACTAGATGATGCCACGAGAAAATTCCGACCGAAATATTCATTTTGGTAAGAACCACATTGTATGACTAATCTCTATCTCATCTGCCCAGAAAACAACACGATGGAAGGAAACTCACAGCCAATCCAAGTAATATGATAAAACAATAGCTACGAAATCACACCCATGAACTTCGAAAAGTGTTTGATAGGTCCTTCAACTTTCAATGATATATCTAACAAGTTCCAAACTTTAAAAGTATCTAATAGATCCCTAAACTTTAAATTTTGTGTCTAATAGAAACATATTATGACCTATTCAATGCTATTTAAAGTTTACAGTTCAATTAGGCATCACAAGAGTGAATCGTGCATAATATATCTGTGAATTTATAATAAATGTGGACCAGGGACAACTCAGTTTAACCTTGTGGCTTTCATCTCAGTTTGTTTCCAATATAACTAATATACATAACATACCCATACTAAGATAAAACATGCAGGGCAAATTTAAGAACTATAAAAGCCCAGAGTTATCACCCTTAAAACCCACAATATAGTTATTTCCTATATTGATGAATTTTAAGTTAATGCCAAGTGTTGAAAGCTTAAATGCAGAATCATGTTCATATGAGCAAATGCCAGTTTCTGTTTCTTTTAGGATCATCCAAATGGTTTAACCATTTATATCAAACCTTTCATGTATACAACAGTATTTTCTGCATGGATTGTTCCTTGTCAATCTTCATGCTCGTCCTCACCCTCAGAATCTGCGTAGCAAAACAAAAGGTGAGAAAGACAGAACAAAAACTCTTAACGACTTTTTTCGGTATAATTATATCGGAAACAAACTAAACTGAGGGCGTCCATAAAGTTTGCTTTGTCCCATACATAAACTCTAGCAGTTCAACAGTTTACTATAACCTTGACCTCTACCATATACATGACAATGAAGCTAAAAACCAAACGTTATCGATGGCGGGTGGATATAATCACCTGAACGAACATCTTCACTAATCTGTCCTCTAGCTTGGATTTGTTTAACAAGCATTCGGTACATTAGCACCCACCAATATATGTGAAGAACCAAGAGGCAATATAGAAGAGTATTGAACAGATAATAGTAGATTGGTCCATCAACTGGATGTTTGTCCTTGTCCAAAACAAGGAGAACTTCATAACTGAAATAAAATGGCGAGAAGTTTAGACAACAATCTTTAAGAGAGAGTGAGAGAGAAATGAGTTCATTTGACCTCAACTAACTTATCCCTCTCAAAAGTTAAAACGATATAAGGCTGCTAGGCGCAAAAATCAGACTAACCTTGTGCTCCAGAGGATCCAAAATGGATAGTAGATGAGACGTAACAATAACCAAGATAAAACAAATACTACAAATGCAATGCTAGCAACCATCTCGGCACCGCTGTATTTGGACATCTTTCCTATCTCCAGAAACACGTCATTTGCATCATGAAGAGCGAGAACCACAGAACCTACACGAGCAAATCTACAAGAACAACATACCATACCATATGCCTTTCCATGAATAGGAAAAATGTACTACTAAATACTGCTTTTAGTTGCAATTTCACAGCATCATTAGCTTTCAGCGCAATCGGTAATTAAACACGATAGACAGTTTAAGAAGGCCTACACAATTCATTCTGTTGGTAATTGGTATCATTCAAGTCAATGAAGTTGCATTTGACATCATGTAAAATATTCCAATGCTTTAGAAAGTAGAGAAGATAAAGTACCTAAAAATGTAGGAAAGTACGATGAGAATGAGAGTTGCCACATGGTGGCTCATGGACACCCCAAAGTCTGAACGTCTTGTTTCCCAAAAAATCAAAGCAAATATGGAGTACGAATAAAATCCAGCAGCATACATATATACTGCCTTCAATTTCAACCTGAAACATATAAGTTAGGACTTCATCAAACGTCCTAAATGATAGATTCTTTTGTAAAACACAATTTTAATCCCTATACTTTTGATCTTCTAATAGAGGCATATGAATGGTCAAATAATTGAACTACTTTTGATTGTGACTTATAGATTGTCTGCCGACTTCTTTTTTTGATCAATTTCTTGATGAAAGTTTAATTCAATGACTTAACCATTACAAAAAACGTTAAAAGAGTCAAAATACAAAGACTGGTAGTATATTAACTTAGATTCTTAAAGTAATGATATTACCCATAAATATAATATTATAAAAGTGGACTTAATGGCAGACACTCATCACAAATAACAGATGACTCTGAAACTCTTACTTAGCTGTTTGGTCAGGCCAGACCTGATCTCCTGGTCCTACCCAAAAATGTTTTGTGCTAGTAAACCATGGCTCGTTATATGTAACAGACAGAGCCAACAGCTCTGCAGTAAGAAAATAAATACATTTCCAGGCCGACTCCTTGAATTTTCTTATTTTCTTCCGTTTCTCAGCTGTATTCACATCCATCAGCTGATGGCCTTTTCCAAAGATCAATCTTCTTCCCACTTTCTGTAAGATAAGTTCATACCACAGAAATTTAGTAGGACAAAGGTAATTTTAATAGAAAGTGGGGAATGCCAACAAAACAATAACATTCTCATCTACGAAATGCAAAAATAAAAAAGAAGGTAAGCTATGAAAAATTAGTTCGAACCTTTATTGGTGCACGAAGGGTGAATTTTTCGAAAATAGATCAAATGACACAACATCGGACTAGTAAAGCTCGGAGTTAGAAAACAACCTATAGCTTGCCTCCGATTCAAACGAAGACGGTTAGGTTTAAGTAATCATTTCTCAAGTGCTTAAACTACCAGAGTTTCAATCACTTCAAAATAAATTGTTGGATAACCATCTTTCTAGTGTTTCTTCAAAAATGAATTTTAAAGTAATTCGAATTTTTAAAAATGTTTGTTATTTATTACCAAGCACCGTAGATTTTTTAAAAGGCACCTTTAGTTATCAAAAATCACTTAGAAAACTATACTGAGCCCACTCTAAATTAGTAACTCTTCCAAAAGTACTCCTAAAAAAAGTGGTTTTATTAAAAAATAACTTTGTTCAAAAGTCTTCCCAAACAGACTATAAATTCATTGACACTTGTTAGATGATCAAACAACTGCTCAAAATCTCCACACACATCGGCACATCAAAAGTTACATGCCAACATAGTTAATCGCATTGAAAGTCCCCAATGTGCTTGAAGTTTCACGGAGTTGATCATGATGAATAGTAGACCAGACACTAGTAGTCACACCTCAAGCTAGTCAAGTTTACACAATTGGGTACCCTAAAAAATTCTCGGTTGAACTCCAAATAAAGAAAGAAACTAATACTTTGTAGGTCAATCAGCATATGATGTTAAAGCTTCACGTTTTTCAAAAAAGTTGGCATTGACAAAAACCATATGCGCATGATCAAAGAAGGTAATTGAGTCAAGCATACAACAAACAATCAACTTCACGATAAATGTAACAAAATATTCAAATTTAAGAGGCCTGCATTAAGCCCAAAATAAACGTTTTTTCTGCCAACAGAACACGGTACTCACCCTCGGTTCAACATGAGAAGTAATTAGACACTAACAAGACAGAATGCCACAGCTTGTTGACAAACAGGAATAACTGTTTAAGGCTGATGCAAAAGTAGTTTCTACCATATACCTAACGGGTTTGATGCAACCATATGCGACATTAAACAACACCAAGGAATCAAGAGCATAATTAAGGGAAAAAAAATTAAGGACAAATGTCAAAGCTATTGGTTCTAAGTTGGTCAAAAATTAACAAAAACAAAGGAGAAAGAAGAGTAAAAGGTGAGAGAAGGGTGGTTTATAAGAGCAATTCATGACGAGATGCATTGTAACAGCTGCGCCACAAACAATGCCCAAAGATCAAAATACTGAGCCAGTTATAAATCAGCTCTACCACCAAACCAACCAAAACTCTGATACCACATTTAATAGAGTACGGAGAACATGTGCGACCAAAAAAATTCCTATTTAAGGCCTTCTCCAACACAATAACTATAAGTATCCAAATCCCGGGTGGTGGTTGAACTGAAACGGCGACGAACGTTCCAATCAAACTACTCAACGCGGATTTAAACCCATCGTCAATCGAGAATAATAGATGCGAACAGGCCAAACAAAGTGGGGGTCAACGGTCAATCGAAATCTCAATTGGGTAATTGAAATCAGTTAAACCCAGGATTAAATAGAACCAATCCACGGAAAAGAAGATAGAAAGATACAAAAATGTCGAACAGAATGGTAATTGTAATTGGTAAGTGAAGGGGGGGAAAGGGAATACCTCAAAGACAAGTCTGTCGAGAAAAAACCGAGCAGTGGGAAAGAGAAGCGCAAAAAGGGGAAGAAAGAAGAAATCGTCATAGGATGGGAATGATTCATGCTCCCAATTGATAGACCTGATGGAATCAATCAAACCCATCTGAGATTTTGCGATTTTTGATTGAATGGGGAAGAGAGAAGGCGGTGAACGGATCGAAAATCAGCAGAGTGATGCGTCTCTGAATCCTCTCCCCCCACGGAGTTGGGTCTGTGCGTTGGCAAAGAGATTTCACAGCTTTGTCATGGGGGACGGAAGTTGTGGGTCAAACTTCATGTTAGAGAAAAAGCTCTCTTTCATTGGATGGAGACTTTCCCAAACTGTCAATCTCTCTTTCACAAAAGTTACAATCCAATCACCCCCTCCCTCCTCTTACGCACCTTTGCTTTGTTATTCAAATTTGCTGGACAACACGTTCAACGTGTTCTTTTAATCTTTTTCAATTAAGTTTTAGGTTTAACTACCCACCCTCTCGCTCTATGTATTTTCGTTTTTTGTTCATTTTTATCTAAAACAATCAACCAATTCAGTATACATCTTTTTTGTTGATATAATATTATCTATCACATTATTCACGCATAAACTCTCGTGATTTTGTTGTTGGTATTGCTCAAGAAGACTCATTATATTGTCCCTCACTTATATCTTCATCTTCCGTAGTCAATGTGAGATTTCGGTCGAATTCCTAACAATGTTGGCTCATTTGCTTTTGAAATATCAATTTGGGTTCATATAGTTTTTAAAAGTGACCATTTAGATTCATTTATTTTCATTTTTATCACATTTTTTTATTATAATTTTAGACTCTCTAGATTCTTGAAATGTAGCCCTTCATTTATATTAAAAGGTTTCATTACGTATAAAGTTTGTGTTAAAATTTTGCAAATAGGGATTAAAATAAACGTTTTGAATCTATCATGCGAAAAATTAACAAAATTTAAAAGTTTATAGACCATAATAAACATTTTGAAAGTACACTAAAATAGTATTTAAGTCTAAGTTTTAGATGCTCTCAATTTGAGAAAAATGATTGATATATGAATTTTAAAATAGTAACTTTTATGAGTTTGGTYGTATACCAATATTTTATTTGATCAATTTCCTTTTAACAATAAATAATATTAGGTTAAAGTTGCTAACTAAGTGATATGAAATAAGTAAATTTTTAATTTTATAGGTTAATTCTATGTCTTTTTTTAATACAACATATAAAAGGTGAGAATTAGAATTCACGGACCTTTTGATTGAAGATATGCATCTAGATGAGTTATATCTATTTCATCAAATTAAAATATATAGTGCTTTTAACCAAATTAGTAAACTATATTTTTCACATTACATCATCATTTTGCCATTTATTCTTGTGTGACAATATGGACCTAGTTGAAAAACCAACTAAAACAGAGCTCTACGGATTAAGGCATATGTATCGACTATGAGGTTGAGAGTTCGAATCTCCATCCCACGTGATGTAGTTGAAAATATTTAGCCAATTTTTAAAACTATATTACAAATGTGTATCAAACTGTTGTTATAAAGTGGAAAGATTTTCAATCAGCACTGAACGGTTTTTAGAACAATCATATTGACTTTTTTTTTTATTAAGGGTCGTTTTTTATTTTTATTTTCTATAGTTAAATTGGAAATTTAATGACTCACATAATTTTGATGATTACTCATTATGTCTATAAAAGTCTAATTTTAAAAGATTTAATTGCATTATAAACTTTAAGATGTGTTTGGGAGTAATGATAGGACGAGTGACTTTGAAAAAAGAGATTTGAGTATAATTGATTTTTCAGAATCAACATTCAAGTCATACAAATTTTCTTAAAATTAATTTTTTAATTTACCATAATCAATGGGCAGGGAAGTGATTTTGACCGGGTAAAATTGATATATCAAAATCATTTCTAAACACACGATCTGTTTGAGATTGATTATAGAATTAGTGATTTTGAAAAACGAGATGTAAGCATAATTAATTTTTTAAAATCAGTTAAAAGCGATTTTGAGTTGATTTGAAATTTTCATAAAATCAATTTTTTAATTTGCGAAATACGGTAATGGGGAGGGAAGTCCCAAATGCACCCTTAAACAGTTTTGAATTTAATTAGTTCCAGTGATGCTAAATTTTTTATTTTACTTGTTCTTAACTGTTGCAAACTAATCTTTCAAAACTGTTTAATATTTATTTTTAAAAATAGTTTTTTATTTGTATTTTTTCATTTATTTCTTTAAAATTTTATCTTTTATCCAGAAATGTAATATTACACATCTGAGATCTGAACTTTCTAAATAAATAAGGGTGCATGTTTTATTAGTGATTTGAAAACATAAAATTGAAAAGTAAAATACTAAAACGAAACACTTTCTTTCCTCTTCGGTGAAAGAGGGTTGTATCTTTGTTTGATAGAAGATTTGAAAATTGAATCTCAATTTAAAAATGTTAAAGGTATTTAGTAATATATTGATAAACTAACCGTAGTTACCAACTAAATATTTAATTCAATCCAAATAATATTAATTAATTTTTAAAAAATATATGTTATAGATTTCGTAAAATTATTATTTTACAATATTATATAACTTATAATATATTATATTTTACATTTTCTAATTTTAACCAACAAAAAGAAAATCAAATGAATTTCTAACACTAAATAGTATTTTTATCAAAGTATTTATCTTTTATAATGTAATTGGATATTTTAAAATTTAAAATCTGAAAATACTAAGAGCTTTCAAAATTCTCACGATTTAGATCACTGAATTCGAGAATAGATTTTAAAAATAAATCTGTCAAATAGATTTTAATCTAATTCACTTGATTCAATAAATTTGAAAACAACGAAAAGAATCTTGGATGCCGCCATAAAATTAGTGTTGTTTTAATTAGTTAAATATTTAACTGATATTTAATGAATAAATATGAAACAAGTTAATATTTAAAAAATAGATGAAAAGCACGAAAATACTACTTTAAATTTTAAGCTACTTTAAAAATTATTTAACCAAGGAATTTAAATATACTTCCAAGTTCCAAACTATCTTTTTTAGATTCGTTTAATAACGTTATCGTTCCTATTTTTTGTTTTCCAATTTTATTAAAAAAATCTAAGTATTTAATAACTATTTTTTTTGAATTAAAAGTATTTAATAACTATTTATGTTTCTTTGTTTTCATTTTTTTAGAAATATTTTGAAATGTGTATAGAAATTTTGGAAACAATCGAAACAATTTTTCTAAATTTGTTAGTTCTCTTTTCTATTCCTTCAAGACTTACTATTTCAAATCGTATCGACCCCTGGCCATTTTTACCTAGAGTCTCGACACTTCTCTAAACTCTCTAGTTTTCCTTTCTATTCCTCCAAGACTTACTTACTCTTTCGAGTTGTACCGACCCCTGACCATTTTTACCCTTGTTCTCGTTTCTAATTTGTTTCAAAACATTAAAAAAAAAAAAACATTGTTTTATGATTCTTGAATCTAGAGTGTTGGAGGCCATGCAATTATATCTTTAGGAGGAAACATGAAATATGGCCGAAAAAAAAATCTTTGAAGATGAATAAGAAGAGTATAGTGTTAGAATCCATATAAGAATTAAATTTATCTAACCCATAAACTTAAGTTTTTTGGTTGACAAAAAATACTTCATCTTTGTCCCACATAGATGTCGATTTCAAGCGGTGGTTCTTCAAATCCTGCCTATATTTTTTACACAATTTTTCCACCCCTATATTTCTTTCTTGTATTTAAAAAAATAAATGTCAAAATTACAAGTTTAGCTATGAACTTTAATGCTTGTGTCTATTTAAATCCTTTTAGTTGATAGGTTTTCACTTATGTACCTATCAATCTTAAATTATGATTTTTTTGAGTTCTGCTGAATGGTTAAAGCGCCCAACTTATAATTGACGAATTCGTAGGTTCAATTCCTACTGGATGCATGTCAATGAGACCAGAATCCAAACATCAACCTATTTAGTAATTGGAATTATAGATTTTTTTACCACATTCTCCATAAGGTCTTTTTATCTTTTCCTTCTCCGAACACGAGTTATGAAAGAAGAGATTAAGAATAAAGTATCAGCAACAAGAAGTTTTATTATAAGTCTGTCATGTCTCTACCCTATCTTGTGAGACAATAACATTGTGAGGTTTATTTTTTTTTTATTTTTCTCTCTCACACTATTTTGATTTTTAATGTTCATTAATCAAGGTAGAAGATCACATTCCAATTTGTTTAGAGAATAATGTTCATGTTTAGTGCCCTTAAATATTGGTAAGAGGTATATATATATATATTTCAATCTTTCTTTTTTTTTTCTTAATTTTTAATTTTTTAAATTTTATTAATCAGTATATATATATATATAATATATATATATATCTTGTGTGTCTATATCTCTTGTGTATGTGAAAGAATTTTTTTTTCCAAAATTGTCCTTTATTTTTCATTAAATACCATATATATCCTATTTTAACTTTGTGCTTGCCAGCAAACCTTCAAAATCATTTGTTTTGTTGACTTTTTTAAACACTTAAAATTGATGCTATTCAAGAAGAAATAATATGTTTAATTTGTTTGTCTCTTGAAATTCTATCGTTCTTGATTTATTATATGAAAATTTTTATATCATTAGTTAATAATAATGTTTAATTATAAATATAAAAGTGAGGTAATCTCAAAAGTTTTAAAATTTTTTCATACCTTTCAACTATAAAAGAACTCTCTTTCCTTCATTTCTAATACAATTAGTTGAGGTCGGTTTCTTTATTTCTTCTTATTTTACTTTAATTTTTTTTTGTAAAGGAATTTTACTTTAATTTTATTATTATTGTTTTTACTTTTCAATCTCATGATTTTTAATTTGCAAGCTTTCTTAATTTTATAATTGCAGTAAATCACATTCAAATATCTTAGAAAAACGTTGTTTAGTAATCTTGAACATTGGCGAAAGGTAAATATTTGTACACATGAAGTGAAAGGTAAATATATATACCCATATAATTCATTACAATATAATTGATCATATTTGAATTTTATTTTATTATTAAAAACATGTTTACTTAATAATACGATGTATGCCCTTAATTATGGTAGGTTTTGATTTGACCTTTTTTTTTCTTTTTGAAATCCTATTCCATTTCAAGGTTTGTTTGATTTTCTGATATATATATATTTTTTTACTTTTAGACTTCTATTTCAATTTTTTAATCAACACCATTATACACCTTTAAAAAGTGTTTAATTATAATATCTATAAATGTGAGGGTTTTGATTTGATTTTTTCATTATTTTTTGTTTTTTTTTTCTTATTACTTTTGGATATTCTATTTTAGATTTGCAGGTTTTATTTTGATTTTATTTG